CACCCCCTAGCCCCATCCTCCCTTTATTTTGGCCTCTCTACACTCTACTGCAAGATTCAGAGTCTCTTCTGACCTTCATTTTGGTGTATTCTTTCTTTCTTTCTTGACTTTACAATAATCTTTTTGTTTTTTTTTAAAGCAAAAGAAAATTTCAAGAGAAAGTCAAAGTCCTTCCACAACTCATTTCATTTCAGTCATTAGATTAGTTCAATACTTCAACTATATTCTTGGGATGGTTTGAAAATTCAAAGTTGTATTTTGGTTCTAATGGATTTGTTTTCATTTTCTTCAACTTCAGTTTGAATTGGCATATAAGTAGTTGATGGTCTCATCCACAGTCACCCCTGGCCTGGTTTCAATTGCTGATTTTGAGCTTCCCATTGACTCTTTTCACATATTTGATCAATCTGATTCCCATGTAGCCCATCAAGTAGGGTCTATGTGTATAATAATAATTTATGGTTTCTTTTTGATTTTTAAAAAACTCATTTTACATTGCTTTGCATACAAAATAATATACATTGCATTTCACACTATCCTTCATTCACTTGGTTTCATACATTTGTTCCCATTCATTTTGTTTTATAAAATGAATTACCATTGAACTATATATACCATTACCCCATCTTTTCAGATCCCTGACAGATATTTCCCATTTTCTTTACCCTCTCCCTCCACCTACAAAACAGCGTGATCCTGTGTTTTTCCCTCTTCCTATTCTTACCCCTCTGTTTCCACATCTTCCCTCCTTGGATCCTCAAACATATTTTACTAGTTATCTTTCTATTTGTACAATAATTGTCCCATGTAGTATTTGTCCTTATGAAACTGAATTAAATCATTCAGCATAATGCTCTCCAATCTCTCCAAGTTATGCAGTGATTTTTGAATCATTATTCTTGAGTGCTGTGTGTGGACATACCAAAATTTCTCAATCCATTCAATTGTGGTTGAACATTTGGGCTGTTTCCATATTCTTGTGATTGAGAAAAATGGTCCTATGAACATTCCTTGGGCTATATTCCCAGTAGTGGAATAACAACCACATGGAATTTCTATGTTCAGCTTTTTGAGGAAATGTCAAACTGCCTTCCAGAGTGGTTGTACCATTTTACAATCTCACCAACAGTGTGAGAGAGTCCTTAAGTCTCCACTTCTTCTCCAACATTTATTGCCTGCTGTCCTGTTGAATTTTGCCACTGCTATTGAAGCGAGATAGTATGCCATTGTGGTTTTCATTTGCATCTCTCTTATTGCCAGTGAATTTGAGCATTTCTTCATGTGTCTGTTGACCATCTGAAGTCTTCTTCTGTGAGAAGCCTTTACATGTCTTATGCCTATTTTATAATTGGCGTATCAGTCTTTTTCTTGTGGAGGCCCTGTCATTTTCTGTAACGTTTATTATGGAATCATTGTCTGAGCTGTTGTTGTTGTTGTTATGTGCTGTCGAGTCATTTTCGACTCATAGCGACCCTATGCACAACAGCCCTAAACCCTGCTCTATCCTGCGCCAACGGCACTACCTCTGACACACCCATCCCGATTACCCCAGTCACCGAATCAATC